TCGATGACGGAGTAAACACGTGGTAGTTCTGGCATCAGTTGAGGTTTATGATTAATTCAATGAAATGGTACAACCAGTTTCTCTCGTACACGCCTGTTTCTTATAATGTGTACATTTGACAGTTCCGTACTCTTTCGAAATCCAGAAGCCAAAATATCTGTTTACTTCCGTCGTCACTTGAGTAAAAAAAAATGGCAAGTGGGCGATTTAAGCTGCGAAATGTCGTTTCTAATTATTTATGCTCTCATTTTGTAGCATTTGCGTGCATTTATTTTTATTGCTTTCTATTAATGATATCTATCAATAGAAAAAATTGTATAAGTTATGTAAAATGTCTTTTTATATATTTTTTTTCAAAAAAAGCATAATAATTGTCAAGATTAAGGATAAATTTTATGCTAAATTTTCCAGAAATGCAAAAATAAAATATTTTAATGCTTTCTCATATAAAAATAATATTATTTACGATTTTAATTTGTAATTTACTTTTCAAATAAGATTTCCGGAATAACTCTCTTTACCTATAACATTTTTTTTTCAAGCAGTCGTTTAATATTTTATTATACATCTTATAGTATTCTTAAAAGTCTTTTAACGAAACATCATAAAAGCTAAATCTGGTGCATTGCAAAAAGTCCGACTCCGTCTTTTTCAAGTGGTTTCGAATTGCGTATTAATAAATATCGGGTTCTATTGGAACGCAAAAGGAATAAAGTAGATATAAAAGATATAAAAGAAAGAGGAATGGTACGCTCGATTAAAAGCATTCGCCATCGTTCACGATTACTTCTCCTGAAATATTCAAAGAAGCTGTTAAATCTGGGTTCGCTGTCCGGACTCTGCAACCGCTCTGCATTTTCGTTAGAACATTTTAACATATGCGAACTTTCCCAATCTCTAAACGTATGCAGCAAGAGAAAGGAAGAGACAGATTACCAACATTGTTTCAACTATTTTCCACCTTTGGTCAAATCATCGTTTTCACCATGTTTAATAACCCCTTTTTTGTCTATTGCTGATAAAATATGAATGATAGCATTTATTCTTTTACGCAAAATTAAATAAATAATTCAAAATTAAAGATAATTTTATGAGAACAAATAAAATCAAAATGGAGATAATTCATGCATGTGTTACACGTTTCAAACATATATAATTCACTAATCATTTTCAAGCTTTAAACCTAATACATCTGATGTCTTGTCTAGGAAGTAGAGCACAAACATACGTAGTCTAAATTTATCCAGAGTTTCATCGAATGTATCTCATGTGATTTACTTATGCCGGGGTTAGTAGTTTGTTCAGTACAAATGTTACTGTTGTTTTACATGATTTTCATGGAAAGATGACAGAGATATGTTCAGATTGATGAATCAACAGGGAGAAAGTCCCCATTTAGCACATAAGCGAGCATATTGCTTGTTATAAATGAGTGAAAAAAGCACGAAGGAAATCGAAATGATAGAAATATTAAAAATGAGAAAAAGAGAATGCATTAGAGACTCATTAATGTCAAGCATACTTATAAATTGCATTTTTTAAACACAGTAATTTTAATTTAGCATTTTTATGTTCACGTTATACATTGTATTTAATATTCTTACTTCTGTCAATCTATTCAATTTTTATATTCAATTTTTACCAATAATTGAATAAAATATCTGAAAAGTAAATTTAATAAAATAAATTTAGAAGAAAATATAATAATATGCGAAGTTAAATAAGAATCAATTTTTCATATGTTCAAAAATCTTTTAATTTTATTTTACTCTCTAGTTCTCAAATCATCGTTTAATTAATTAATTTAATTAATTTACTTCTTTATTCTTAATTTTAAAAAATTCGCGCGATTATTTATATTTTTTATTTTACTATTTTTTTACTTTTTTATTCCAAATTAAAAAATATAATTATCATATTAAGCCATTCTATTTTACAATATATTCGCTTTCGACAGCAAGAGTAATTCAGGAAGAGCCTACAAATTTCCTGTCTTACGTGATACACATCGTGTACTCTGTTCGCGCGTTCTACCAAGCACCAGTCATCTGAAAGAGCCCGAGAGGAAGACGGTCTAAGGGTACAATCTTGCAGCCAGGTCGCGTACAAAAATCCTTATTGCTCAACGACGGTAAACTTCATGCAGGCTGAAGAGACCTTTCAAGAGTTTTTCGGCAGGGAGTCTTGACGTACACTGTATCAAGCTTGACGCGAATCATTCTTAAGACAAACCTCCAACGCGCCTCGGCTTTGAAATTCGACACCCGGTACATGACATCGTCTCCAGCGCCGATCACGGACGTATATATCGAGGCGGAGAAGAAAGCTTTATACACGAATATATACGAAGACGGGGGGCGCGGGCGGACGCCGTCTGGGAAAGACCCGGCTAATTTTGCTGGCCGCGTCGCGTCGCGTCGCGCCGGGACGACCCGCGGTGCTCCGATGCACGAAAATGTTTCTGAGAGGCATGCAGCCAGGGATTCGTACTTGGAAGTCACTAACGATCGCTTCGACCTCCTTCGATAAACGATCGAGCCACATCCCGACCGTGCTGCGCTTCCCGGTGATCGATCTTTTATGGCCCGCAGCGACCCTAGTCTGACGCAAGTCAGACTGTATCTACTGAATGCGCGGTACCTTATTTTTGTATTACAATAAGGAGACTCATCGATCGATTAATTTCAAAAATGCGTCACTTCGAAGACTTTCATCTTAAATTTATATTTTCTTAAACAAATAATATATTCATTGTTTTAGTTTGAAAACCTTCTACCTCTCCCTTTATAGATACCAAAAACGCACTTACTTTATTTTATCTGGAAATTTCGAAATATTTTAGAAATGCTATTTACATTTTTTGCTTGGTAAATAATTTACATAATAATTTGTTGAAAAAAGAAGTGAGATATTTTGCTTAAATTTAGTAATAATTCGATCTAAATAATTAAATGTCCCCACAAATGTGTATATTATGGTGTGTTTCTAAATGTGGCTGTCGTTTTGCAGAATTTCATTTTCTCCATGTTAAATTCTCCACCATGCAACGTGGCATAGTCAAGCCGGTACAATTCTAACGAAACATTCGTGATAAAGGGGCGAATTTAATTACGAGCTTGCGAGATCTACAGTATTCGCGTTGGAAACAGTACGGCATCGCGCCGCTCCGGTTGCAGTTTTAAACTAAAAGTGAAAAACTCAAGGCATGGAAGTGTAAACCGGTGCAACCAACGACTAGCGCAATAAAAGAATATCGCATCGTAAGCCTCGTGATAATTTATTAAGTACGAACACGCGAGACGCGCGTGCGAATCGCTTCTCGACAAAGGAGAATGCGCTCGCGTTATCGCTATTGAAAGACCTTTTCGATTTAGCGGTATCTTGCAAGCATCGAGATTGGTCCACAGAAGGAATAAGCGAGCATGCGACCTGAACCTTTGAACGATAAAGTTAATGGACTTCATTTACATTGCATAATTGCGACGAAAGCGGAGCTAGCACTCAAATTATACGCAAGGTCCAACGACCAGAACCAACAGCAAAGGTGCCCTTTGAATATTCGGTATGCTTAAAACACTCATTTACACTGTACACGTTCGTTAAGTATGCCAGGTCCGCAAGACCGAGAATTAATCGCCTTACTAGATGCCATAAACGCTCAGGTAAAATTATATCACATGTATAAGAAAAAGGCAAATGGCGACAATATATATTTGAATACACTACTGATACACGCAACACATTAAAACGCAACATGTGCAGCGTTTAAATCAATTTATGTCAATTTATACTTATGACGTACGAACATATATTGGTCACATTAAATTAGAATAAAAGTTTTAATAATCGCAAGCAAATTAAAATTACCTATCAAGTATTTTATTATTAACCTTATGTATTCGTCTGCTGTACCTCATTGTTGTTATTATTATGTTATGGCTTATTATATTGTTACATTTAAAAAACTTATTCAAAATATGTGTAATTTTATTTTAAATCAAAATTATTTTTGTTTATTAATATTAATATTTATTTTAATTCAAAAAAATTTCCTTTTGAAAACGATATAATAATATCGTAATAATAATATAATAAACAATATAATAATATTGTAAATTACTAGCATTAAAAGATATTAGAATCCAAAGCGATGTCTTATATAATGCTAATATATTGCGTCTATATGTAAATTAATTCGAATGATAAATTACGCTAAAACACAATTACGTTAGTATCACAAATTAAAATCATTTTCAATAATAACGTAGATATTTTTGCGGCAACATGAAAGAAAAATATTGCTTTGCAAACTTCATAAATACAAATTTTGTTATTTCGAGTTGATATCTTCAATGCGTAATTTGAAGCACGTGGGCAAGCATCGGTGGAAATTTTAAATAATTTACTCTAACAAAATCTTTTCTTGAATAATTTTAATTATTTTATATATTTTTAAATAATATTCTATTTTAAAATTAATTAAATCTTTCAATAACTTCTCTTTCAATAATTAACATTTTAATTATTTCTAATTATTAATCTATTCTATGTAAATGAATTATTTTTATTTAAACTAAAATTTGTTATATAATTAATAAATAAAACCTCTACTATTATTTACCATAATAATAAATAATATTCTTCTAAATATACTCCCTACTAAATACACTTTTCAGTACATTTATTTTGTTAATTTTTCTCATATTATAAACATAAAAATGATGGGCAATTTGAGTTGAGAGAAAATATCGATTTCTCATCGATTTAATTTAATTTAACATCCATTTCGATGTGTCATCGCGTCATATCAATATAGGAACATGTGGATATTTTTTCGCGTGATGGATGAAGAATAAAAATACTAGAGGCAGAAAATTCGTAACTTTTGGAGCACATTTGCCTATAATATTGCTAGCAAATCTGCGTGAAAATAAATGAACTGACGTTTAAATTAGAGAATTTAAAGATGATCAGATTAAATTAACATGTAAAAAACTTACATAGCTCCTGTACGATGCCATGATCCAGTGCTCCGGACGACGAAGAAATCTCAAAAGAAGGAAACAAATCTCCGGAATAGCTTTTTACAGTCAGCTTCACGGACCACCATCAAGTACAGGAGTAGCCACAGCACCGTCACACGATTCACCGGCACCAATCGTCCCACTGGGATAAAACGTTGAGGAGAAGAGGAGGTTACGGGTATCAAGGCCACGGATTAGAAAAAGATCGATCGTTTCGAGGAAAGCTTCTGCGCGATCTCACAGGAGAGAAAAGTGGCAAGTGAAGCGAAGGCGCTTCGTTTCGGACGAAGCTCGGACCCTGAAGAGCCGGCGACCCGCGAGGCACGCCACAGTCCCTCTTGTTCTCTTTTTCTCTCGCTCTCTTTCTCCTTTTCTTCTTAGTCTCTCTGCGTTTCCTCTTCTTTCTTCTTCTCGACTTCCCTTCTGCTGGTCTCGTGGACTTATAGCGATGAACCGTTTCCTTGTCGCACTCGTAGCGCTCACTCGAACCCTATTTTAAGAATAGCTTTGTACCTTCTCTGTCTCGCTCTCCATCCGTTTCTGCTTCGTCTTCTGCTTCACCGGCTGCGAGGAAGATATAAGTTTGTAGGGAGAGACTAGGGACGAGGGGATAAATCCCGCGTGCGAGTACATGCGTTTCCGCTCGGACGGAAACGAGATCGCTGTATGACACGAGTGGTCAATAAAAATGTCACCGTAGTCGACAAAATATTGACAGGAGAGTAAATTGAAATGTTAAACGTTGTCCCTTTCTTTGAGTTCGATTTTCCTTGGAAATAAACAAATTCAAAATTATAAAAATATTTTATTTTTTTATTTAATTTAATAATTATTAATTCTTCATACGCTTTTTCTAATTATATTAATTATAAAGTTATGTATACACTTTAGAATTTAAACGTTTTATATTTATTAAACATTTATATTTGTATTAATTATTTTATGTTTAAATATTTAAGTTTAAATGATAAAAAAAATTTTTCTGATTTTATCTTAAAAATTATATATTACCGATCATTTTCGATACTAATTTATTATTTTCAGCTTTAAAAAATTTTTGTTTCATTAATCTTATACTATTTTTTTTAAATATCTTACATCTTCTTTAAATATTTTTATTTTGTATATGGTTATTGATTATGAAATAATTATTTATGTTATGTAAAAATTCAATAAGTTTCACACAGAGGCAAGAGATCGGACTATTCAGAACTTACAGCTTTAATCATCAGATCTCCAAGAGCTCTCAAACTCCCTCGATGTTCTCAAAGGAAGTAGTTCTCTCACACACACACAGAGGTAGAACAAACCATTCGCGGAACTACAGTCGTCTTTGTTCAGGAAATGAGAACAACGTTGCCGCAGAACTGTTTCCACTGGTTGGATCCTCTCTCGTGCAATAGGATGGTCTCTTCATGTGAAGATCTACAGAACTTCTCAAAAGAGAGAACCCCTTCTGAGAAATCGTGAGCGAGGTATCTTCAAACAGGATTTGCACTGTTACAATTGAAGGGATGCAGAAGGACAAGGATAAGAGACTTAACGTGATCCGCAAAGAGCTCGGAAAGTTTTACCGAGTTGACGTTAGAATGTTGACAGATTCCAATTTAGACAAATTAACTGGGAAGATTCCTCTGTGAATTTAAAAAATAATCCCATAATCCTTTTTGTTTCATTTGTTCACATGAAAAAATTTATTTTTTATTACTTTATTATCTGCATTAACTCTAAAAGCATCAAAAAAAGGTTCAAAGAAATGTTTTAAGAAAATTAATATTTCATTATCTTTTTATCAAAATAGAAATACAGAAACAATTTATATTCGATAATCTCTTTTTCTCTATAATATTATATTAGTTTATGTGGTGTTATATTAATTTAAATAATATATATTTTAAAAAATCATATCTAAAAAAAATTAACTTATAAGAAAAGTATATAATTAAATTTAATAAATAAAATATATATTTTCCTCTTTTTTCATATTGTTAGCATTTGCTTTGAAAACCTTGATATATTGACAGATTTAATAAAATTATATGTATTCTTTATTAATATCATACATTTTATATATTATAATATTTTACAACATTAAGTACATTTCAACAGATTCTTCAATCAAAATAAAATTTCTTCTTTAAAATAATTTCTTCCTTAATAAAACTTTATATTAAAGAGTACAAAAAAAGAATAAGTTCTCATAATATTTTCATAAACCAAAGCTATTTCTTTTATCAAATCTTGTTTTAAGAATAAAGGTAAAGAATATAATTATATTTTTAAAATTATGCACGTAAAATTATGTTTATTTACATAAAGTTTAAGTAATATTATATAAAATTATCAGCCATTAATTTACTGATAACAAGAAAAATAAAAAAATATAAAAATTAATAATTGATTTTACCTTATATATATTTTTATATATATTTTATGTACTTGATTAAATATTAAATAGATATTTGATTAGATACTGTGAATTGTTTAATATATTTTATATATAATATTTAATATATAATATTATATTTGATATTTAATATATATAATATTTTAAAAATTAATATTTTATATTAATATTCAATCATAGAGCAATTTGCTAGACTTTGTGCTGCCAACCTACGTGAAGCATTAGAATGATATATTATCTTGGCAGATTTCATTGTCAAATGATAAGTACTGTAAAGAAATTTAACACAAAGTTATCCATGGAGACTGAGACAATCTTTGATGTCCGAGTTGAGAGCTTTCTAAGTTGATGGCGCTACAAGAATATCCCCGAAAGCTCCCAAAAGCTGCAATCTGATCTAAATATCAATAAAAATTACGATGTTGCTGCGACATGATAAATCATACACTTTTAATTCATCTTATGATTAAAGTAGTAATACATATTTATATTATTTACATACCTGTAGAAAATTTTAAATATTTTTAATTATTTATTTTTATTATACAACATATGTGTATATATATATATATATATATATATATATATATATATATATAGAGAGAGAGAGAGAGAGAGAGAGAGAGAAAGAGAGAGAGAGAGAGAATATATTAAATAGAGAAGCAAAAAGTTTAAATAAATTAAACACAAAGTAAAAATAAAGGAATAGATGAAAAAAGATATTTTTGTATAAAAATAATATGACGCAATAAATAATTCAATATCAAAATCTATAACTGCATTATTTATTTTTACTGATTTAATTGTGTTTTATTTATAATATTATAATATGTTATTAATTATTTTTCCACAACATTTTAACTGTTGCTGTAAAGTATTGCATTATTTTTTTAAACTATTTTATTTTAATTATTAATATAATATTAATATTGATATTTATATATGTATAATTATAATATTATTTTAACGAGATTTATAACAACGAGATTTATAACATTGTAGATTTAAATTAAGTTTATTTTAAATCAATTTCGATTTAAATATTTGGTAATTTACTTACAATTTATAAGCAATCGACAATTTCCTGATTATGATTAACAAATATTTTTAATTTTTACTTGTAACATCAAAACTAATCGCATTTTAACGTCGAAATTCTTTTTCAGTTTGACCTGTAAAATATTTCAAAAAGGAATCGATGAATCTAGTACATTTTGTATGTCATGCTAATATCGTCATGTATTATTTTGACGTGATTGAATCCCTGCTGGATAAAACGAGAGAAATGTCAGGTTTAAACTCGTTACCTAGATCCGTATTTGCAACGACGTTGATAGATTCCGCATAATCTTCATCCTCGTGAGTTAGCTGCAATCACATGCTCGATGTTAGTAATTAATTTAGAAAGCAATGTAAGATAAAATCGCAAAAGCAGCTAACGGATTACCTAGCTTTACTCTTGCATGACTAAATCCAAAAATATTTTGTTCTCAATATAAGTATGCGCATATATATCTATATTACAACAATAAAAAGATATCAGTTATTTTTTACATCAATAAGATGTTTCTTTTTTACATTAATTTTGTGTAAAATTTTAACATTATTTAAATTCTCAAATTATATACGTCTATGATAAAACATATATCTTCCATATTTATAAAAATTGATTTTTTTATCACTTTAATAAACTTCTCTATATTATAATTATAAAAGATAAATAAGAAAATATGTTATGATAAAGTTTATTTTATGGATACATCACAGAAAACACAATTTATTAATTATATTTATTATATTATTATATTATTAAGTTTTCTATTTTTTATGTATAATAATAATAGATTTCTTTTTTATTTAAATCTTCTATTGTCTTAAGAAGAATTTTTATTATACATATAGAACTATGTATTCTAATATTTATTTGTAATATTAGTGTGCGTTGTTACATATAATAAGATTAATATTGTAACACACAAAAATTTTAAAAATGTGTGTAGCCTATTAGAGAATGCGATGTAAAGCAAATCTATGGATAAGTTTATGGATCATTGCGCGCGATTATTTTTGGATTTCGAAAGTGTTCATATTTATATCCCCACTGTAGGACATACTAAAATGAAAATAGAAAATCATTATGAGATTAACACGTGACTAACGAAGAGTTGATATTTTATATGACTTACCCCACTTTCTCAGTGAATATAGAAGAGTATTCTTCAGACAGGAATAGAGTGACTTAGTCATCCCGAGTTTCTGCAGTAATAACGAAAAGCTTTGGTCTGAGTTTTTGTGGTGATTTTTGGGTGATGAGTCAACGTGACATCGTGAATCGTGCGTGAGAATACCTTAATCGATGAATTGATTTTTTATAAAAAGGTGTATAATTTTATCTCTAATAATCAAAGACAGAAAATAAAGAAGATTAATAAAGGAAATTAACATTCACCTTTCATTACTAATTTTATAAAGCAAAGGTATTCAATATTTAAATAACGATCACATTGCGCAATTTTGACAAGCATAAGGTTAATACAATAATTTTATGTAATAAAAGATTATGCATTTATGAGCTCGATTATACTATATTCAACACAGTTATATGCAAATTGAGATCAAAATTGTAGATTATGTATTAACGCACATGACAGCTCAATTTACATCTTAAAAGCGGCGCAGATCATATTTATCGTCACAGAACTATTTTCAGGAGCCATTGTTATACGACAGACAAGTTAGTATTCGCCGATGACCTGAATTCTGAACAATCCAAGC